GGCGAAAGGGGCGTGGTATCCAAAATCTGTAAATTACAAAATCTTTGTATCGATTAACTTTATATACAACCCAAATTTGAAGTCTCCAGGTTTAAAAGTGTTCAAATTAGGCCGAAAAAACCAAGTCGATTTTTCGATTATTCTCGATAAAAAAGTTATCGGATGAGTTATCRAAAAAATATGATAAACTTGTACTGCCTATGGTATACACGAGTATGCATGCCAAACTTCAGCTCTCTAGCTCATATATCTTCTGAGATCGACGCAATCATACGGACGTCGGACAGACGGACAGGGCTATATGGATTCAGTTCGTCGTGCTGATCAAGAATATATATACTCTATGGGGTCTGCGATGATTCCTTCTGCCTGTTACATACTTTTCACAAAACAATTGTACCCCGATTTCCCATTTTCCATGGGTTCAGGGTATAAAAAAATGAACAAGTAAGAAGACTCTAGTCGAGACTGCTCGACTAGGAAATACACTGAACCTCTAATCTGATATTCTAATCACTCTGCACTTCGCACTGCACTGCGCAGTAAGCAGCAACTGCGATTGGGCTGCGCTGCGGTGTGGGCAACATTATAAGAATTTATTTGTTGAATAATTTAATTTCTTGACGTACAATCTTGATGAAACTTTCAGAGCGTAATCATATGAAAATGTATGTAAATTCCAAAGCACAAGTCTCTAGTACTTGAAATACGCCTTTTAAAAAAGTGAGGGTGAGGGGGTGGATATAGGGGTGGGGGGTAAATTTAAAAAAAATGAAATTATATAAAATACATATAACTCTACATTTAAGATTTGCAAGCTCTAGCTCTAAGGGTGTAGGAGATATTGTATAATTAAATAGCCAGCTTTCAATAAGGTTTTTGATCGATAATAAAATATCGGCAGTAGTTATCGATATATAGAGAAAAATTCGATATGCGCGTGATATACATGGACCTAGGAAAAAAAATTTCAAATCTCTAGATCTTATATCTTCTGAGTTCGACGCGTTCATACATACGGAAGGACAGACAGACGGACAGGGCAAAATCGACTCAGCTCGTCGCACTGATCAAGAATATATATACTTTATGGGGTCTGTTACATACATTTAACAAAACCATTATACCCTGATTTCCCATTGAAAATGGGTTCAGGGTATAAAAACAGAAGTTAGATAGGCAAATAAGTTATATATATTCTATTTATTGCTTAAGTGGGAGAAAAACTTCGTTGTCTCTTTGTGTTTGCTTTGAATAGAGAATCAAAGCACGTAGTCTACAATACCTCAGGGAAACATTCGTCTACTTTCATTTCGGCCCTTGTTCACACACCCTAAACGGGACAAGTCGATGTTGTTTTCATTTATTTGCTATACGATTCCAATAATTGTGTGTATTTTTGGTAAAAGTCAACGCACATGATTCGATTTGGGGGATACGGCTATTTGGCTGCTTTCCATTCCATTGGCTGGAGTTGAAGACCGAGTTGATTTCTGTATTGACTCTGGGAATGCCATTTAGTGCAATTTCTGAAAAAAAGAAAACCAAAAATCTATAAAGATTATACTCGTCATCATTTAATAATTCCCTCCTACAGCTCCCAAGCTGATCCAACAGAAATTCGTATGTCTGGCGGTATATTGTTGTATGTGATGGACAAAAAAGGCTAATAACTAATAAACTATGAGGAATAGAATTTAGGCAAACTTAGCGTAAATGCTCTGAAATATATAGTTTTTATTTTCTGATTTTCCAAGCTACTATCTACTTTGAGCTCGACTTACTACTTATTCCAGCCTTTCCGTAAATTCTTAACACTTATGCAACGATGGTACCAAGCATACGTGTAAATGTAGTGAATGCAAGTGTGTCGCTTCTATGAACTAACAGAAGGACAGCGCAGCAACAATAAGAAATTTTTAAATTATATATTCTTAATTATGAATAGGAAGAGTATATTAGTACATCTCTTTGATCTCATATTCGACTCTCGTCATTCATGAATTATTCGACACTTATTTCTTGTTGTTAAAGAGAGAAGAGAGGATCTCTTTTCACTCAGCCCTCATTTCATCTGTCCTCTCTTAACTTTAAGTTCTTATCTTTTATCACTCTCTTATCTCTTATCTGCAATCTTTTATCACACATCTCTCATTTCTAGCCTCTCATAACTAACCACTAACACTAGTCTATTATCGCTCATCAGTCATCTTTCATTGCTAATCATGAAATACATTACTAATCACGTATCGACCAAAGAGCTAAAGTCAAATTTTTTTTTGTAATATCGGTAAACCGTTTACCGAAACATTTTGTAATTGGTGAGGCTTCCAGAACCGCCAAAGTATCGAATGGAAGGCCCCAGCCGAGCCACCACTCTTACAATCCCGTTTAGAGAAGTCGATGCTCATTCGTTCTTATGACTCCAAGCAAGTCGTGAGAGTGCAAGAGTGCGTTCTGAATACTTTGTTGCATCTTATTCGTCGTATATAT